AATTACAAGGTGTTTCAAGGCTTGAAAAGTGTTCCAATACATTGCCAAGGGACTCAGGAAGCTTTTGCAATCGAAACCAAGTCTCAACGCACAAGGAATTGGTAGAACAGAATTGCTTTCCTTTCAAAATTGTCCATAATCGTGTTTTGATTTCTCTGCATGATTCATGACTTTTAATGTTTGATTTATACTAACATGAACATTCTGAAGCTATTGGTTCCATTTGATTGAACTAGGAACGCCTGTATCCAAAGTTGCCATTAAAGAATTTTAGGGTTTCAGAAGCTTGAATTTAGGGGTTCACACATATGGTAAAATCAGGCCTTAAAACCTATACCATTGGATTCGTGACATCCAAACGAAGCAAAACCACCCCTCGCGCCCTTTTTATAATTGCTTATGTGCTAATCGCTATTTTTCCCGTTCATGTTTAGTGGGGGTTTAAAACCCCCGCTATTTACTTGTATTTGTAGGAAAAAAGGAAGAAGAAGGCTAGCGTGTATGAACATGATTGGACCATTCAAAAATTTAGCGCGTTTTTGTTGTTTCAGCGTGATCACCTTTGTTTTCATATATTATGTTCTTTGTCCATTCCACATACAACACGCACGCATAGCTCAGATGGTTGGACGTGCTTTTGGTAAACGCTGGGACCTGGGTTTGATTCCCAGGTCCCCTTATGTATTTCATAATTTTTTCATTAGCATGTTCCAGTGTAGCGCCTCTCCCAGGGTTCATCATGCAACCCCATGTCCAAGCCAGCCAAGTGTCCCTGAAGGTCAATCCAAAGGCCATAATGTGTTGTCTACCGTACGCGCTGGTCAAACACTCTGCATGCAAGCGCTGGAAAAGTCAAAAAGAGCCTGATTCAATGGGCCTATTTGCTTCAATAAACCTCTCAATTGGGTCAGCCACCCCCATGGTTTGCATATTTTCATTTTTTATTTTAATTCTCCTTTTTATTCTTTTATTTGCTTTATTGTTTTATTTAATCCACAAAATTAATTTTCATAATAATAAAACCAGAAAAACCAAAAAATAAAAAATGTTTATTTAATATTTAGTTCATTAATATTTTTGTAAATAAATTTTTAATAATTAATTTAGTAAAATTAGGTTTTAATTTTAATCTTTTCTTAATAACTAAAATATGTAGAAATTAGGTTTTTAGCATTTTTATTCTTTTCTTAATAAATAATTTCCTCTTCTTATTATTATTATTAACTATTAATTATTTTTGTAAATAAACACGTCATTAATTAATTAGGGTAAATTAGGTTAAAACTTGAATCTTTTTCTTTAAATAATTAAAAATATTTAGAATTAGGGTTTCTTTCAATTTTAAATTTTCTTTATTTCATAAATACCAAAAACCATAAAAAATAACTTTTTTTCTTATTAAATAATTAATTAGCCTTTTTAATTTCATTTAATTTCTTCAAAGGGTCCAACGCCCTCGAACATTCGATTCTAATTTCTTTTCGCGCGTTTGTCCTTATTTTCCGTTTTAAATATTATGTAATTGCCCAAGCCTTGTAATAGTAATTAGGAATTTATTTATTTTCCGCATTTTTATTCAAATCGGGTCTTTGTTAATTTGGCGATGTATAGACCCGCGCCTTGTAATAACGTAGGACTTTATTTTCCGCACTTTAATTTCCGTACCCTTAACTGCTAAATTTTGCATGAAAGAATGAATGGCCCAAAAAAAATCAAAGCGTAGATCATCATAATGCATGATCAAAGATAATGGTTAAACTGAAAACAATACACAAATTCACACACCACTCTTAGGGTACGCCTCACTGTTACCTTGCCCCTCGAAACGTGGTCGTCGAGTATAGGACGTTTTAGTGAGTCCTTATGTCCGTTGATCTAGTTGCCTCGAAACGGTTGCCTCAGAATAGTTGCCTCGGAATAAAAAGATCAATGGCATAAGGGTAGCTTCTAAGGTGTCCTACTGTTGCTCTGGTGACCACACTGTCCCTAAAAACGAATTGACCCGAACACCTCCAACGGTGGTGCTACCTACCTCTCAATGGTGGGATGGCACTACCTTAAGGACATTTACACAGCCTAATTCCTTAGGGTGGGTAGATGACTCGTAGATACTTGCTCTATTTCAAAAAAACAAATCAAAACTCTTTTCACACCGACACTTTTCAAAAAGCTTTCAAAACAATTTTTCAAACACTCTTGAGGACTGATACAAGAGTCGATCTGAAACTTTAAACGAAACTTTTTCAAACTCACTCACAGTTGAAAAGCAAACACATTTTGAAAACATAAGAGCAAGTATCTAAGAGCCCATGGATAACCATGGATAGAAAGGGTGCTAACACCTTCCCTTTCTATAATCTACCTCCCGAACCGAGAAACATCTCGAAAAGGAATTTTGCTGTGCTTTTGTCCTGTCCATATTGGAGAAAATAAAAGACGGTGGCGACTCTTACTTCTGCGACATTTCGCGAACCAGCGTTAAACAGTCAGTTCCAGATCCACCGATCACAGAACTGGCGACTCTGCTGGGGAAATACTTTAAAGTGAGGTGTACCTTAGGACTAAGATCACTTGTGTTTTCAATTGTCTGAACTGTTTGCTTTATTATTGTGGGCTGTCTCGGGAGTTCTATAGATCCTAACCCGGATCTGGGGATACCTTCTTAGAAAGTAGCAACAAGGCTGTGAGGGAACTGTGCGAGGTATACCGACATGGTTGAAGCAGTCTGCTACGTTGATGTGGCACTTTGGTGTGTACCGGTAACCCTTGAGTTCAGTCAAGGAGAGTACGGGGCCTCCGCGTGGTGTCGTGAAGCATCAACTGACCTTAGGAACCTTAATTGAACCATCTTGGCCTCTTTAGGGTAGTGAGATAACTGACTTTGGTGCAGTCTGAAGTTGGTTGATACTCGATACTACACTCAATTGAGGGTTGTTTTCTTGGAATATTTCGGTCGCCAGTTCAGTGGCTAAATCGAAACGATGAACAATGAAAGCAATCCAGTGATATTGGGACCCTTAGAACCCGGTTACTTCTGATAGGACAGGTTGAGCCCACCAACTTCAAGAGGGTAATACCCTAGACCCCATGCTGGCCTAAACTCTAAGGGTTGTGGTGTGACTTGTGTGCCTTACCATGTTTGTTCTTGTGAATATTTGTGGTGTGTTTAATCATAGCATCATAACATCATACAGCATCATGTGCATTGACTAACCATTTCAGGGGTTCGAATCTTCATCTTTGTTCTTGTTTTGTAGGACATGGAAACTGTTCGCAGAAAGACAATTCAGATCAGCCTTGTAAGGATCCCTCCTCAGCTTAAGGAGCTTATATCCAGGATTCCCGAGAGCTCTTCTTTCAGTGAGAGGCATGGAAGACTCATCAGCTTGGTCAACACCAACATTGAAGAAGATATGATAAAGGTCCTGTTCCAGTTCTTTGACCCTCTGCACCACTGTTTTACTTTCCTGGATTATAAACTGGTGCCTACATTGGAAGAGTTCTCCCGGCTTCTGAAGATCCCTATCCTTGATCAACTACCCTACAACGGTACGGAAAAGGAACCCAGACTTGAAGAGATTGCTAAAGCCTTACACCTACAACCCTCTGACATCAAGGGACACTGGGAAGTTAGAAGTGGTATCAAAGGGTTCTTAGCCAGGTTTCTGTTTGAGAAGGCCCAAGAATGTTGGAACTCCCTTGACCTGCAAGCCTTTGAAGAAGTTGTGGCCCTCCTTGTCTATGGTTTGGTGTTGTTCCCGAATCCAGATCAGCTTATAGATATCAGTGCTGTCCAGATCTTCATGTCCAGGAATCCTATACCTGCGTTGCTTGGGGACATCCTTCACTCATGTTACACTCGAACCATGAGAAAAAGAGGTGTTCTTATGTGTTGTACTCCTATCCTGGGAAGGTGGTTTATTTCGCACCTTCCACAATCAGTTTTGAAGAACGAGCGGGGTTTGAGATGGTCACAACGATAGATGACTCTTACACATTGTAGCGGTGAAAATCGGAGATCAAGCTATTAATTAACTTGACTCACCAAAGCAAGAGTCGCCACCGCACTTTATTATTTCCAAGGGAAAAGGGAAAAGAGCGAAATAAAACCCTAAAATATGCAATGTAAAATAATACTTAAAAGTAATAAAAATACAATGCGTTTTTGAAAGAGATCGAGAGTTCGGGGGTTGGTTATACAACGGGAAGGTATTAGCACCCAATGCATCTGCGGTACTCCGCAAAAACCTTTTGAAATATCTGTTATTTGGTTTAAAATTGTTTGTTTGATTAAAATGGTTCGTTTGGCTAAAAATGGGTATGGACGAGATTTTGAAGATGCGACGACCTAGTGTCGAAGTTTTGGCTTAAAAGGTATGAGTTTGAAAATGGAGTCTTTTGGGAAAATTATCTTGAGTTTAGCAAAATAGTAAACAAACAAAAAAATGAAAAAAGGGTATTCGCACGATCGGATGAGATGTATTTGATGACGTGAAGTCAACTGAGTTGAAACATCTCCCTTGGAATTAAACATGAATATATAAAATAACTTTCATCCACACATGGCGGAGAGATAATCGAAAACTCATCATAACATATTTTATCGACTTATTTATAAAGGAATGATGATTAATCGGTAAGCCCTAAAAAGTTTAGTACAAATTTATGTTTTATCTAAAAAAACTAAAGACATATTCTATATATTTTTTATATATTAAATAAGAAAATATGCTGTCATAAATTAATCTAAGAAAATCTAATTAAGGTAACTAATCAATTTTCTTGTATTTTTATTAAATAATATATACTAATGAAAGAAGAAAAATTAATTCCTAAATTAATTACTTAAAGGTAGTGAAATAAAAAGAATATTTTTTTTAATGTGACTCTCATCAATTTCAAACGATAAACCAAACATATAGTAAATGTCATTAAAATGGATAAAAGATAACACCAACAAAAGCTGTGAGAAAAATACCTAATATCAGTTTCAATCCAATATGTGTCATCTGCACCCTCAGTTGCTTCTTAAACATGTTGATAAAATCATCCGCTTTTGCATCCACACCTTCATCTTCCGTACAAGTCGTCGTTTCACTTCTCGCCATCGCCGTCGCTGGCCTCCTTCTCTCCAACGCTTCTTCTTCCTCTTCCTCCCAGTCCAACGTCATCTAACACTCTTTCTCATTCACCGATCTCTTCAGTTCCACCTTCCTCTTCTTCTCCTCACCCGAATCACAAACCAGTTTTGGATCCAGTTCCGCAGACGGGTTTTCGGTTTCGGTTTCAGGTTGAAGGTAATGTGTTTTTACTGGCGCAAGTTTATGAAGGGAGAGATTGAAGAACACTACTCGCTTTAACAAGGTTGATGTTTGAACAACCGTTTGAGTAGACTCGGATCCTGACTCGGGTTCTGTAACACTAGATGTTTGTTCTTGGTGGTTGTAGTATTGACGGGTATTAAAAGACTTGGGTCGTTGGATGATTTTGGTTTAGGGTGCAACGCTGAAGCAAGAAACGAGGGCTATGGTACCGATGACTAGGTTTACAAGGATGAAAAGGGGTGAAGGTGCAAACCAGCTCGCGAATGGTGGCTCCTGGGTTGGTCAGGGGTGGAAGACGATGAAGTGGTAGTGGTGTCTCACAGAGGTTGTCTGAAAGTGGTTCACTGGTTATTGCGGCTTTAACCAACTTTTCTTCTTCTTTTATTTGATTCTAAAAGGAAAAGGCAAGGCCGAGCTATGCCAGCGGTAACACGCAGGTAATGATTCCTTCTCACTTGTGTTCTACTTTTTCTACTGCTTCTGGATTCAGTTGTTATTGTGAGTGTTTAGTTGTGAGAGAGAGTGTGTATTTTAGTGATACATTCTGAAGTTGTTGTGTATTTGAGATTGAAGGGGAAGTATGGTTTTGCAGGTTTAATGAAGTAGGTTGAAGGTTTAAGCAAAGAGATTTAGTGAAGCATGAAGGTCAGAGTTATAATGGAGGGTTAAGGTTTTGGTTACGAGGTTAATGGAGGTGGATGAGCAGAGTTTTGTGAGTGATTTTTATGGTTTTCTCTGCTTGTTGTTGGTGCCATGATGGATTTAGGAAGAGGTTTTTATGATGTGATTCTTTTTCTTCAGATTTTTTATGTTGCTGGTATCTATATCCCTCTTTTCGTTAACCAAGTCTAGGTTTATAGAGAGAACATAATGAAATTTTTGGGGGGAAAGGTTGGTGAATGCAGTGCCTTGTTTCATCTCCTTTTGATGCAGTTTCTACTTTTCTATTTTTGTGAAAGTTTAGACTGTTTTTGGACAGGTTTCACAGGAGCTTTTGGCATTATTATGCAGTTTGTCTGGGCAGCAAGACAGTAGCAGGGTGGACAGCAACATGGGTTGATTTTGTAGCAGATTTTTGGACTGTTTTGAAGTGTTTGTAGCAGCTGATTTACGGACAACATTGGTACAAGTTATGGAGCAATTTTGATGCATCATGAATCAAGGAAAACGGGCTTGAAAATAATAGCATAGGCTTAGACTTGGTATTTTGAAGATTGATGAAGGATAGTTTAAAATAGGCTTCAGGATTTGCAATGTTTTTCATGTGATTTTGTGGCTATAGTATTTGTAATGGGATATGAAATTTGTAACAAGTCTTGAATTTGGATGTAACTTTAAATATTTCATTTGAGTTTGGAATGGATTTGTCTTGAAATTTTTTGAAATTGCAAACTTGAAATATGCCTAAAAATTAACATGATGCATTCTCCACTTTTGAACTAATCATGACAAATATCCTTGAATCAATGATCTTGAAATTTTCTTTAAAGTTTGTATCAAATTCTTGAATTGAATAAGAACTTTTCCTTAGAAATAGTCCTTGTAGAATTGATGGACTTTTGTGAACTTCTCTTGAAGAATATTTGCAAACTTGTCATTAGTACTTGAGTGAACAAATAGTATCTTAAGAGCCTTGGTAAAAAAATTCATCATAATTTGACAATCACTTATGCTCAAATGCAAGTGACTTGAAACAAGCGCCAAACAATTTAAAGAATCCTTAAACTCATCATCATGTGTCATGAACAAACTCATCATAAAATTCAATATCTTTAGAGAACAATTATGGCATGAATTGTGGCTTGGAGGTTAAGAATATTCTAGGTTATGAAAATGACCTATAACGTTTCAATAAATTCCATAGCCTTCAAAGCATAATATGACAACATGCTAAAAGAACTGTCTCAAAATATTGGAAATTGAGGAAATTATGATCCTTTGAACTTGATCTTGAAAAAGTTGGCTTTTTGGTCTAAGTGCTTTGAATCGACTTGCAAGCTTGATCATTCCTTGCATTCCCGGACGCATTGATGCATATGTGAACCAGTGATGATGAAATCTTGATTGTGCTTTGGGGAATTTTTGGAGAAGCTTGAGACCACCTGTCGAACAAGGCGTGGAAATAAACACACGATTCCCTTGATGAATCAGTCTTCAAGAATCAACGATCAACTGTACTTATGGCTTGAGAGATTCTGAACCCTAATCGAGGCATGACGCCTGATGCTCTTGATTCAGATCTGTTTCCTGCAAATGAAATCAAAAAACACACACTTCGTGCTTGATTAGAAGTTAGTGATACATAGGCTAAGAATGTTCAAATCACTTGACAATCTTCGCATAGTCAAAGCTCGAATGTGAGACGTTAAAACCGACCGTATTTCGTGACCTTGACTTATCTTTAAAATGCAAAAAATAAAAATGGGATCTTAGGTCAAAAATTGGGGTACAACACACATGCTGATATACATTGGTGCTCTCGGTCCAGAGAGGATGTCACTATCATTGATCATTGCGGGGAGTACCCTAATGTTCCTTTACTTGGAATCAGAGGAGGTATAACTTACAACCCGTTCCTGTCTTGGAGACAGTTTGGTTATGCTCGGAGGGACGGCCCCCATGACATGTTAATTCCTGACATAGTTTTTGACTTCGACAACGATGCACAAGGACTTCGCCAGAGATTTATCAGAGCTTGGAGGATGCCCAGTAGGATAGACAGCAAGACCCTGGGGCACAGGAACTCCATCCTGTTGGAGCCTTATCTCAAGTGGGTACGAGCCCGCTCCCAGAAGTTAGTAATGCCTTATCCTCATGTTCTCCCGGTGATCAAAGAGCCAGTTTTGGAAGGAGAGGTGCCCTACACCGTTCAACATCCTGACATGCCCACATCCTGGGAAGAAATGCAGAAGAGCTGGATCCAGCTTAAGGAAGAACGGAATTCTCTTGAGACCAGTCTACATGCTAGTGAGAAGAAGGTCTTGGAGCTCACCCGTCTACTGCACGAGGAGAGGAATCTCAACACCTACATTGCTCCGAAGAGGATGCGTAGTGTCTTTTGGGATTGATTTGCTTTTGTAATGTTTGTCCATGAGGCTTTGATGTACTGAACAATTATTTTCTTAATGATAACGTGTGTTCCTTTTTGTCTACAACAAATTTGAACTTTCGAACCCTTGAATGCATTGCATAAACACATATCATTCATCATGTGCATAGCATGTACTCTTCTTTTCAGGTTGCTTACTGTTCTTCGCTGTTTATTTCAGCATCATGAACCCTGAATCATCTACCGAGCAGTCTATCAAGGCCCTTCAGGCTCAGAATGAACAATTTCAAGAGTTGATCATGGGTTTGGCTCAAGGTCAAGAGGAGCTGAAGGCTTTACTGGTTAAGAAGAAGAAGAAGAAGAGAACTGTTCTATTCAACACTGGCCGGAGGTTTGGTAACACACTGCAGAATGAGGAAGCTGGTTCTTCTGTAGGCAAAGGCAGTCCCTAGGGGGGAAGAGGTCCTAGTCCGGTAGTCTCTGACAACGAGACTGATTTTAATGAGGAGCAGTATCCTCCAGCTGAAGACAGATACAAGCAGCTGGAAGACCGTCTGAATGCCATGGAAATTCAACAAGTGCCTGGGTTGGATTTCAGAGACTTGGGTTTATCTTCTGGTATGATCATCCCGCACAAGTTTAAAGCACCATCTTTTGCTAAGTATGACGGGGCGTCTTGCCCTAAATTACATCTCAGATCTTATGTGCGGAAGATTCAGCCGTATACAGTGGACAAAAACTTGTGGATCCACTTCTTCCAGAAGAGTCTTTCAGGGACTCATCTCGAATGGTTCTATCAGCTGGATGGAACCAAGGTTCATAACTGGGAGGAGTTGGCTACTGCTTTTTACAAGCAGTATCAATATAATGCCGACCTCGCTCCTACACGTACCCAACTCCAGGGTATGTCGCTAGGATCGGGAGAAGGTTTTAAAGAGTATGCGCAGAAGTGGAGGGACCTGGCTGGCAGGGTGCAGCCACCGTTAACCGACCGTGAATTGATAGATATGTTCTTGGGGACCCTATCCGGGCCGTTCTTTAATCATCTTATTGGCAATTCATCTGCAGGGTTCACAGATCTTATTCTGACTGGGGAAAGGATAGAGGCTGGAATGAAGTCAGGAAAGATTCAGAAAGGCGCATCCTCAAGTTCTGAGAAGAAACCTTTTAAGAAGGAATCCAGTGTTGTGTATGGGCCTAGGAGGCAAGACAAACCAGAGCGCCGCCAAACTATCAACGCAGTGGTAATTGCTAAGCCTGCTGCCGCTCCTCGGCAAGCTAACCAACCAAGGGCTGAGAGACCCAGAAGAGAATATACCCGGCTGAGTATGACCTTGTCACAAATCTTGCCGCAGCTGCTATCAACCAACTTGGTGACCGTCAGAGAGGCTCCGAAGGTTGTGAATACTGCATCTCCGAAATATAATCCAAATGCCCGTTGTGCTTATCACTCCGATAGCCCGGGGCATTCTACTGATGATTGCTGGGCCCTGAGAAACAAGGTTCAAGACTTTATTGATGCGAAGGAGATACAGTTTGAGGCGCCTGAGAGGCCAAATATTGTGACTGCTCCTATGCCCCAGCATGGAGTAAACGTTGTTGATGAAGACTTGTATGCCGTTTCTGTGAATGATGTTGCTACCCCTCTGTTGACTGTTAAGAGGAACCTGTTGCTGGCCGATTTATTTCCGGGTTGTAGCAAGGGTTGCCTTTTGTGTGCTGTTACCCCTACTGGTTGTCCGTTGCTGAAGTTAGGCATCCAAAGCCTGATGGATAGCAAAGAGATTCTGTTCAAAAAGACCGCTGTTCCTTTTGTTCCTGTGGAAGAAGTATCTGTCGTTACAATTTTCAACAATCCAATCAAGGCTCCCCCGAGGAAGCCAGTCAAGATCATGTCTGTTGCACCCATTATTATTACTGTTCCGGGGCCTCTCCCCTATGAATCTGATAAGGCTGTCCCATGGCACTATGGGGCAGATGTATATGTACTTGGAGTGAAGCAGGAGTTCAACACCGGTACCAGTATCAGTAACATCACTGGTCCAGCCAAAGTAACTCGCAGTGGCAGGCTCTTCTCGCCTGACATTGTGCCACCAGTTATTCGAAGACCTCTCATAATTACACCTGCAAGTGCGCCTGTTTCTACTTCTGATCAAGTTGCTTCCCCTACTGCCGAGTCATCTAATACTCGGGGCAAAGGGATTGATGATAAGCCTGCCCGGATGGAGGCACCAAAGACTGTGAATGTTGAAGCCTCCCAACAAGAGATGGAGGAAATTCTTAAGATAATCAAGAAGAGCGACTTCAATGTCGTTGAACAGCTGGGGCATACCCCCTCCAAGATCTCTATGCTCTCATTGCTGCTGTGCTCAGAGGACCATGCCAAGGCCCTGATTTCATTTCTGAAGACGGCCCATGTGCCACAAGAGACCTCTGCAGATCAATTCACTGACTGTGTGGCCAATTTGACAGCTGACAATGGTTTGGGTTTCTCGGATGCTGACCTTACCGCCAAGGGAAAGAACCATAATAATGCCCTGCATATCTCCATTGAATGCAGGGGCACTACTCTTGCTCACGTGTTGGTGGACACCGGTTCTTCCCTGAATGTATTGCTCAAGAAGGCCTTAGACCGGTTGGATTGTGAGGACCTGGAGTTGAAGCCTAGTAACATCATTGTCCGAGCCTTTGACGGATCGAAGAGGATGGTTCATGGTGAAGTAGACATCCCTATTCGTGTGGGTTCTCAAGTATTTGACTCTACGTTCTATGTGATGGATATTCGTCCATCTTATTCATGTTTGCTGGGTCGACCTTGGATTCACAAAGCTGGGGCAGTGACCTCCACTCTGCACCAGAAGCTCAAATACCCTGTCAGAGGGAAGATTGTTACTGTGCAGGGGGAGGAAGAATACATGGTTAGTCATTTGAATTCCTTCTGGTATATTGAGATGGACGGGGAGTTTATTGAAACCCCCTTTCAACATTTTAAAGAGGTACCTCCAACATTG